CAGTCTCTGGCGGCCGCCGTGCTCCGGAAGCGTGGCTCGGTGGCCCAGTGAGTGGCTGGGTGTCGCCCTACCCTGCCAGTCTCATCTGTGGGCGCCGCCGCGGTCCTCCCTTTGCTCTGGCCGGAGGGGTGCGGAGCCACATTTGGGGCTCACCCTGGAACAGTGTGAAGCAAGACCCCACGCCAGTGATGTGCCTCGGGTTTCCCAGGTGCCCACGGGTGCCCGCGTGGTCTAAATCTGTGCCTTCCGGTGTGGCAGGGTGCAGCCACGTGCAGCAGCTGAACACGTGGCCGGTCCACACCGAGGAGCACTGATAGCCCGAAACACGCACTGGATTTCAAAGACCTAGTTCGAGAGAGGAGGAGAGAGAGAGAGGAAAATAATGTAAAATATCTCATTAACTTTGCGTCAATCACACGTTGAGATGACAATTGGTTGGACGTATCGGATTATTATGATGTATGAGTAAACTTCATTTGTTTATTTTCATTTTAACGTGGCTGCGAAAATATTTGAATTGCACGTGGAAGGTGCAACTCTGGATCATCCTTGAGACCCTGGAAAAGTGCTCCCCGCCCCCGCTCTCAAACAGGCAGTCGTGAAGGAGAACCATCCTTGAGGAAGCGTCAGGAGGGCAGGTAGGGCAGCCGCCGTGGCGGGTTCATGTGTTTGGGATGCTGAAAAGCGCAAGCCTCGGATCCCTGGGGAGTGACACCCCGGGGAGGCACAGGGACCCAGAGCAGACACCCCCTAGCTGATGGCTACTGCTGGCGTTTGTGGCCCCCGGGACACACATTCGGGCCCTGAGAGGTGTGACCTGGGACCCTGTATTGCCTGCTCGGGCTGCCGTAGCAGAGCCCCGCAGACTGAGTGGCTTCGCGGAAACGAACTCCCCCATAGTTCTAGAGGCTGGATGTGTGAGATCCAGGTGCGGGCCGGGCTGGTCCTCTTGAGGTTCTCCCTCCTGGGCTCGCAGCCGGCCTTCTCCTCCTGTGTCCCCACCTGCTGGTCCTCATGTGCGTGTCTGTGTCCTGATCTCATAAGGTCACCCGTCAGATCGGATTAGAGTGCACTCTAACAAGCTCGTTTTACCTTAATTACCTCTGCGAGGACCACGTCTCTAAATGCAGCCACGTCCCGAGGTCCCGGGAGCTGCGGTTTCAACGTAGAAATTGTGGGGGGTGGGGACACGCTACTGAGCCATAACAGATCTAAGTCGGGGCCTGTGTCCTCCCTGGGGGGGCCCGTGGTGTCCAGGCGGGGGTCCTTCTGACGGTAGGGACTGGCGGATCAGGCCGGCTCAGGTCGTACGGCCAGGAATGGGGACCACGGGGTGGAGGGAGGGCCCGTTGGCGGTGGGGGCTCCAGCGCTTTGGAGTCGGGGGGGTGGGGACGAGTCGGGCGGATGCAGGACGAGTGGGACGCAGGGTGGGCGGGGGACAGGACGGAGCAGCCTGTGGCGGGGGACGAGCCTCCCCCAGGACCTTGTCTGCTGCCCCACGCCCAGCGTGAGCTCCAGCAGGGTGAGGCTCGAGGGGGCACCACCGTGCTCCTCTGCGGGCCTCCTTCTCGCCGCCGGGAGCTCCAGGGCCTTTGAGGAGCAGAGAGATCCCCCAGAGACCAGCAGGACCCCCCTCTGAGGCCCATCCTGCCACGCCAGTGGGTCCCACAACCTGAACAAACTTCTTGGAAGTTCAGAGGCGGCTAGGCCTTCCTTTCTGCTAAACAAGTAACTGAGGCACAACGGAAAAGGAAATGTTGTTGGAGCGAACAGCTCAGTGACATTTAGCTGTGCGCCCAGCACCGCCGTCTGCTCCCACCTCTCCTGCCCCAGTGACGGTCCCTGCCCTCCCGCCCCGGCCCTGGGGCCACGCTGTGCCCTCCCACCGTCTCGGGGCTCACCTGCTCTGACCACTGCCCACAGATGGAGGCCCACACCGTGTGGCCTGCGTGTCAGGCTTCTTTTACTCAGCGACATGGTTTCGAGGTCTGGCCACGCTGTGGGGCGTCTCAGGGCTTCACGGGGTTTTAGGGCTACATCATATCCCACTGGATGGAATTAGTCTGGGTCCTCGAGAGAAACGGAACCAGTGGGGTGCATATATGTATAAAGAGGTTTACGGTGGGGAGCTGGCTCACAAGATTATCCCCAGATCTGTGGTCAGCAAGCTGGAGCCCGGGAGGGTCTATGCTAGAGTTCCAGCCTGAGTCTGAAGGCCTGAGAACCAGGAGAGGGGCCGGTTACCCTCTAGTCTGAGAGTCAGCAGGCTTGAGACCCAAGGAGAAGGGATGTCTCAGTCCAAGTGCAAAGGCAAGAAAAGACCCATGTTCCCTGTCAAGTGTGAAGCCGGAGGCCTTCCCTCACTGAAACTTTTTGTTCCATTCGGGCTGTCAACTGATTGGACGAGGCCCACCCACACTGGGGACGGCTCCGCTTTATTCCATCCACTGATTCGACTATTAATCTCGTCCAGAAACCCTCTCGCGTTTGGCCACACGGCCCAGCCAAGGTGACACGTGACATGAACCATCACAGTGTCATCTATATTTTGTTCATCCGCGCATCAGCTGACCGGCGTTCGGGCTGCTCCCACCTCTCGGCAGCTGTGAGCAGTGCTGCTGGGAACATGTGCATGTCTGGACTTGTTTGGCCGACTTTAATTTCTTTCGCGTGTACGCCTAGGAGTGGCATCTCCGGGTGCTGGGAGTTCTTTGGGCACATTTCAGGCTGGGTCTGCTTCCTTGGCACACAGAAGTTGGGTCGCTTCCCACAGTCCTTTCGCCGGGACCCCTTGTCCCATCTGGGTGGGGGGCTGGAATGAAGCATCCGGAGTTGGCGAGGAAACCTGGGGATGACGCTTGTACTGGGGTAGGCCAGGCCCGCGGGGCGGGTGACACTTTGAGGCAGAAGGAACCCAGCAGACCCTAACCCTAACCCTTTGTTAATCTGGCTCCAGTCCACCGGCTGGGGTGGGGCCGGTGGAGATGGCAGCCTAGGTGGGAGGGCCGGGGAGGGGGCCTGTGTGTGGGGGCCCGGCAGGGGCCAGTCTGACATCCCTGTTCAGTGGAACCTTCCCCACTCCCTGTGTCACCCCCGTGGTGTCCCTGCTCGGGCACTTCGGCGGTGGCTCCCTTTGCCCTCCAGCTGGGCTCTGGATTCCTCACCTCCGCCTCTGGGCCCCTCCCTGTGCACCTGCTGTGTGTAGTGGGCTTCCTGGGTCGAAGTGGTGCCCTGCCCCCTAACCGAGGCAGAAGGGACCGCCTCCAGCCTGGTGCCCCAGCAGCCGCGTCACCCCAGATTTGGGAGTCCCCTGAGATGGGCTGCTCATGCCCTGCTCACTCGTGTCCCCGGCTCCCTGCACGGGGCCTGGACCAGACGGGTGCAGAGACAGCTGCTGAACTTCTGAACATGGCGTAGTCCCAGCACCCCAAGGGCCGGGCCGGGGCGGTCTTTGTCCCTGGCCGTCGGAGGGAGCAGCATTGCCGCCTCCCTCTGAGTAGGCCGGCCCCGCCCTCTGCCCCCCATCCCCGAGAAAGCGAGCCAGTGCCACAACCAGGTTTGGCAAAATCCGGATGACTGTCAGCATTCCTTTTATTGCAAATTGGTTAACAAAAGAAGATGAAAGAAAAAAATACATCCTTTTCATCACCTACAGTTTTGCACGTAGATCACTTTTTTAAAAAGTTTCCTTTTGCTGTAAACTACACTCTATTTTTTCCCAAACCCCGCAAGAATCAACATCCTAGGGCGAGTCTGGTCATGCCCGCTAGGGACGCACAACACTGCCCCCGGGGAGGCCGGAGGGGCTGCCTGGAGGAGGCCGACGCCCGCCGGGCAAGGCGGGCAGCGGGGCGCCCTCCCCAGGTTTGCTCTCATGAGCTACGGGCCTGGCAGCCGCGGGTCAGGTGGCAAGGCCCGGGTCGTGAGCCCAGCCACGCTCTGACGTCCCTGTCAGCACGACCCCGGACACCCTGGACAGACTTGTTCATTCAGATTTTTTAAACAAAATCCACCTTTAAAAATGTATTTACAGACATTTAGTTTGCCACAGGCTTATACTTGATATCGCAAGTGTCTGCTCCTTCCCTGGGCACGTGCTCCCCCCCCACCCCCAGATCGGGGGTGGGGGTGGCCCTCCGGCCCCCCCCCCCGGGGGGGGGGGGGGGCCCCCCCGCCGGCTCGCCCCCCCCCCCCCCCCCCCCCCCCGCCGAGGGCACCGCCTCAGCCGCACACACCAGGCCGTGGGATGATCTGTCTCTGGGAACTGAGGCCGGACACAGCCATGTTTCTCCAAAGTCTTGAGAGACTGTTCTGGGGTCTCGTCAATCTGGGGCCGTGAGGGGTCTGGCCCCGCGAGCTGGGTCTGGGCCCCAGGTGCTGCTAGTCCGTTTCCACCTGTCCTGGAAGAAAGTGTCCGCGCTGAGCTGCTGGGGTGGCCCGGGCAGTGTCTTTCCCCAGAAAAGGGTGAGATTCCTCCACGTGGCATCCAAGACGCATACCCCACGGCCAGCGGGCTCCTCGCTTACGCAAGGCTTAAGTATCAAGGCCAGGGGCAGAGGAGCTTCTAGAAGGAACAGGAACTCACAAGACCAATGAACAGCTATGTAATACTGAACCCGAAACAAAGATTCACGATCGGTACCATGAAATGTGCTCTTGGTGCCCCCCAAGGACACATCTTTCAAAGCATGTTTTCAAAGCGATCATTACAAAAAAAACCCACCGAAACATAGAAACCACCATTTACATTTTACAACATTCCTCTGTTAAATGCAACTTAATCCACACGCCAAAGGTGTGGGGGTTTTGCCTGTCGTTTGCCTCGAGATGCAGCTTCTCACACAAGGCAGGGGACCTGGGCAGGTGGGAGGGGGCTGGGCGCGGGGCGGGGGCATCTGGGGCCACGGCAGCAGGCCCACACCCCCTTCTGGACAATGCTGGTCCAAACCTCCCTTGTCCAGTATCCTTTCTTTTTGGGTTTTGAAGAAGAAAAAAAAAGTCAATAAATAAGTGGCATTTATAAATCATGAATCTTTGTTTGTATTTTACAAACACGTCACAATGTCATAAGTAGGAAATTCGTGACTGAGACCTAGTTTATTTTCTCGGAACAGACAAAACTTGTTACCTGGAGACATAGAAAACATTTCGCATAAATAAAAAGGCAGTGTTTCCTCGTAAAATAAAAGTACATAAATAAATACTAAAAAAAAAAAAAATTAAAATCCTCGTCCTTTTATTTTGTATAAAAACACGATTCTTAAGAAAAAGCCCCTTTGGTCAGTCCCGGTGTCTGCCGAGCGCACGCAGGCGCCCCAGCGGGGCTTGGGAAAGGAAGCACAGGGTCCCGCTGGGGCGCCGGCTGTTTACTTGAGCGCCTCTGGAATGTGGGCGATGTGGGACTGCGTGCTGGTGGGCGGGCTGGAGATGCCCTCGGACCAGTCAGAGACGTGGGAATGCGGTGACGAGCTGGACCACTGGTCGGGGGACTCGGGGGACGGGGTGAGGAAGGGGTGCTCAGGCACCTGCAGCTGGTGGCTGGGGGTGTTGTCCGCGGGCGAGGAGGAGTAGCTATGCTGCGAGGGCGGGGTCAGGAACTGCGCGGTGGTCATGGGCGGGGCCAGCGTGGCGGGCAGGGCCTGGCTGTCCTGCGGCAGGATGGTGTGCACGGCCAGGCCGCCGCCGGGGCCCAGCGGCTGCACGTCTGCCTGGCTCGGCTCCCCGCCCAGGAAGCTCCGGCCCACGTGGCCACCGGCGGCCGAGGCCACGCCGAGGTGCGGCTGGGGCGGCTGGGGCTGCAGGTTGGGCGGCTGCATCTGTAAGTTCTGCTGCGGCGGCTGTACCTGCGGAAGCTGCTGGGTCTGCACCAGGTGAGGCTGGCCAGCCAGGCGCGTGCTGGGCAGGGCCTGGTAGCTCATCATCTGGGACAGGGCGGCCGTGGACAGGCCGGCGTGCAGCGGGCCCATCATGCTGTGCTGGAGGGCCGGGGCCTGCGTGCTCAGGGTGCCCGGCGCCACGTTCCCTCGCAGCGGGTTGTACTGGTTGGGCACCAGGCCGTTCTGCAGCCGGGAGAGCCACTCGCACTGGCCGTTCAAGCCCGCGGCCCCACCCACGGTGAAATTCACGCCGCCGCCAGTGCCCAGGACCGTGCTGGTGCTGGAGGCCACGGGCAGGTGGGAGAGCCTCGGGGGTCCCGCCTCGAAGGCCAGCCGGCCGCCCCCGCCCAGCCCTGCCATCTCGGGCTTGGCGGCCACGCTCAGGTGGCCGACGCCCAGGTGGGCGTCAGGCATGCCGGGCAGGTGGTTGAGGGGCACGGCCGGGGACTGCTGGAACGGAGAAGGGAGGAGCGGCGGCGAGGCCACGTCCGACAGGTAGCCGTGCGGCGACTCGAGGGAGTCCACGGGCGACAGCACACTCGAGCTGTCCAGCAGGCAGCCCTTGCCGTCCTGGGGCTTCTTCCTGCGTGCCTTGAGGTCTTTGGCCTCCTTGCCGCCGCAGGCCAGGCCCTTGGTGCTGGGCTTGCGGGCCTTCTTGCCCTGAACGGCGGGCTTGAGGTTGCCCAGGTAGCTGCCAGGGGAGCAGAGCGGCGGGGACAGCGTGGGCGCGCCACCCAGGGCCGTGCCGTGCAGCTGGGGGCTGCGCGCCAGGCTGTACTCGTCCAACAGCCGCACGATGTCGTGATGCATGCGCTCCTGTGCGATGTCACGAGGCAGGCGGTCCATGTGGTCCGTGATGTCCCGGTTGGCGAAGTGGTCCAGCAGCACCTTGGCGGTCTCGTAGCTGCCCTCCCGAGCGGCCAGGAACAGGGGCGTCTCCTCCTGGGAATGGGCAAAGGGGAGGTGGGGGGGTCGTCAGAGGACCCACCGCGGGAGACGGAAGGCTCACGTCGACCCTATCCCTTAACCGCACCGTGACGTGGCCTCGTGAAGTCTTAAAGAGGAAACAGCCCTAAGTACGTCTTCTGAGACCTGCTCCCAGGCAGCCCGTCGGGTTCTAGGTTCTGAATCGCTAGGACTTTACTTTTGCGAGGGGCACAGACACCACTGGAAATCTACCCCTGTGGCCTCTCTCTCCTCCAGAACGCCGTAGCCACAAACAGTGCAGCAATTTCAGGGACCTGGGGATCCCTGAGGGGCGTCCTTGCGCACCCCGGGGTGGGTTCCCCATCCACACAGTCCCCAAGTAACCCTGACGTCTCAGCTCCTTCCGAGTCTCGGTGTTCTCATCTGTACGGTGGGCGTGCCACACATTCCCCGTGAGGCTGTCGCGTGGCCCGACGGGCCTCTTTGGCTCACACAAGGCTTTGGCCACGGCCCAATGCCCTTCCGGCGGCCGCCGCGTCTCTGAGGCTCAGTCTCCCCAGTGGGAAGCGGCAATAAAGCCGGGCCCACAGGGGCATCAGGGGTGCCCGGGTCCCAACAGCTGCTGTGTCCCCCAGGAATGAAGGAGGGAGACCCAGGTGGGGTCAGGGAGACGTGGACAGGGCTCGGCCGCCAAGGAGCCGGGGAGCAAAGCGTTTCCCTCGCTTCGGGGACAGACCACAGCAGTAACGGGCAAGTTCCGTGTGCAGGCAAGTGGCCGCTCACGCTTAACCGGGGGCCTCGCCATGTGCCACGCCCCCGCACCACCAGCGACAGGGCTCTACGTGCACCACCCGCCCGGTGACGGCCGGGGACAGAAAGTGCGGCGCAGGTCGTGGGGACACAGGACAGCTGCGGTCGCACCCTTTACTGAGCTGAGACGCACACGCTCGCTCGGGAGGTGTTGGCAAACGTTGTGAACGAGGGAAAAGAGCTGGTGCCACCCACGCACGAGCTCGGGGGCCCTCACTGGGACGGCCCACGTCTGGAGTTTGTGCCCACGGCTCGGTGGTCCCGTGGCCAGAAAGGGGTGGCGCCGGGTGAAGGGACCCACCAGCCTCGCCCGGGCCCCGTGCCGCCGGCCCGCGAGCCCACCTTGTTGTTTTGCATGTCCTTGTTGGCCCCGTTCTTCAGGAGCACGACAGCAGCCTCCACGTTGTTCACGGCGGCGGCCCAGTGCAGCGCGGACTTACCTGTGGGCGGGGCACAGAGGAGGTTGGGGCAGGCCAGGCGGCGCCGGGCCCACCCTCCGTGGGCTGGACCGCGCGGCCCAGCTCACCCAGGTCATCCACGGCGTTGACGTCGGCATGCGAGTTGACGAGATCTTCCAGCATGCCCTCCACCGCCAGGCGGGCGGCCAGGATCAGCGGCGTCGTGCCATCGTGCATGCGCGCGTCCAGGTCCGTGGCTCGGTTCCGGATCAGGATCTACGCAACAGAAGAGGGGGGCAGGCTTGGCAAACGGGCGTCGAGGGCCGCCGGCGACAAAGCCCCCTCTTGGACCAGCCCGGACGGGGGGGTGGGGGGAGCAGGAAGGGCGGAGCTCCGCCGGCCACCGCTGGAGGAGCCAGGGGCCGACGTGCTCATCTAATCCTGCCACCACCAGCCAGGACCCACAGGGGTGAAGTCCCCGCCCAGCCACAGCGGGCAGAACCACGTCTGAGTCACGGACTCAGACCGCTGAGACCCACGGTGTCCCTGCAGACACACAGAAGATGGGCAGGCCCTCCCTCACGTGCTGCTGTGCCCGGGGCCACAGGCGAGAAGGACAGTCCCTGCCCACCGGTGGGTGAAAAGGGCTGGCCTCACGCCCACGAGATGCCCACGGGAGTTCACGCGTCTCTATGCCACCAAGGCCGTGGGAGCAAACAGAGCCTGCTCCAGGGGGCTCGCTTCAATGCTCCTCTCCTCTCTGACTAGCCTACATCTGCAGCAAAATAACGTGCTAAAAACTCCCTAAATTACAGCTCTGTGATGACCCCCTCCCCCCCCCCTCGCCCCCCCAGTTTATGCCCCATCTTGCCTGTCTGTTGAGGGCACGGCTGCTCAGAGCCCGCGGACGTGCAGCAGGGGACCAGTTGGAGGCTTGCAAAAGGAGCCTGTGTGGGGATGCTCCCCAAAAACCCAGACGTCCAATTCCCCGGACCCACCCTTGCCCCGGGCTCCCAGCAGCAAGCCGCAGCCCCTAAACCCTTCTTTTCACTGCCGCCGCCAGCTACGCCTCCAGCCAAGGCTGATCGGGAGGCGGGAGGCCGTGATGGGCCGCCACAGCGGGACCAGGAGCCTGTCTCGGGTGGGGGTGAGGAAGCTCTGCCACCTCCTGCTGGCCCGCCTCCCCCGCGAGTGCGCAACTCAGAGCGCCCGGTTCAGCACGAGCCCCGCCGAGGTTGCACTTGGTATCGGGGCTCTGGGTCTCCGTGAGCCCGGTCGACAGCCCTGACCGGGAGGGAGGAAGGCAGGCCACGGGCTGGCAAAAGGGCTCGCGTGGCCGCAGGTGCCCACCTGGAAGACGCCCTGCGCGTCGGCAGACACGGCTGCGTGCAGCGGGGTGCGTCCCATGTTGTCCTGGATGTTGGCGTCGGCGCTGGCTTCCAGCAGGCGCTTGGCCGCGTCGGAGCGCGAGTAGCGGGCAGCCAGGTGCAGGGCGGTCTCGCCAGTGCGGTCCGTCTGGTTGTGCAGACTGGCGCCCTGATAGATGAAGTCGGAGATGACGGCGGGCGCGTCCTCCTCCTCCTCGCTGTTGCCCGTCTCCAGGCCCCCTCCGCTGCAGGAGGCGATCATGAGGGGCGTGAAGCCGTCTGTGTGAAGGCGGGGACAAGCGCTCCGTCAGGAAGGCTGGCCCCCGGCAGCGGCCCCAGGGCGGTGCTGCCGGTCCCGCGGGGCTGGGCACCCACGGCCATGCCGCCCGGAGCCACCACAATCAACCTGAGCTTCCCAAGGGGCGGAGCCAGGTTCAGCCGCCAACTGGCCGGAGGCAATGAGGACCCCGCAGCTTGGCCTCCCGACCCGCCCGGGACCTTCAGCAATAACCCACCCGAGAACAAGCGACGTGAGAGTCGCGTGGTTGGGAAACCCACAGCTTGGGCCCTTCGAGACGAGGAATTAACTTGGCGGGCAGACAGCCACCCCCAGGACAGAGCCAGCTAAGGACACGGCGTCTCCTGGGACGTCCTGTCCCGCTCCAAGGAGAGAGCACACCTTGCCCCCGTGCTCAGCTTCCAGAATACTGACCCCAGGCAGGCGGCTGGACAAGGGGGACCCCTAGAGCCTCTGGGGGGGTGGGGGGGACGGTGCGGGCGGCCGGCTGTGCACCTACCCGGCCCTCGGACGTTCACATCCATGCTGTCGGCGTCGGCCTCGCCCTGGGGTGGCGTGGGGGCCATGGCGGACACACGCAGGTCGGCAGCGTCCAGGTGCTGCTGGGTCCACTGCCGGTGATCTGCCTGGTCATCCAGGTCGGGGAGAACCACTGGCTCCTCGAACTGAGGAAGGGGTGAGCAGAGGGCCCTGTCACGGCGGGGTTGGGGCCCGGGGCGGGCTGGGGCCGCCCGGGGAGGCCCTGGAGCCCACCCGACTCACCCGGAACTTCTTGGCCTCCAGATCCTCGTCACCCCACTCGTGCTGGCTGTCGTCCATGAGGGCACCATCCGACGCGTTCTTCAGGGGCCTGGGGGCAAGGGGTCGGGAAAGCGACGCTGAGCGGGGCTCCCCCCGAGGCCACGGCTCGGGCGGCCGCCCGACGCCCTCGGACCGCGCAAGGCGAGGCCCGTGGGCGCGCTGGGGGCGGCTCCCGTCTCCCCCACGCCCCCCACGGGCCGCAGCGGCATCCACTAACTTGAGGCCCACGGAGTCCTCGCCGAGGGGCTCCCGCCGTTTCTTCTTGCTGGCCTCTGACACCTTGAAGCCCTCCGGGAACCAGAGCTGTCCATGCTGCCGCCGACGCTTGCGGGACAGCAGCACCCCGCAGCCCACAAAGAAGAGGAGCACGAAGGCGGCCACGGCCACGTACATGAAGTGCAGCTGCGGGGGCGGGGGCGGCTCCACGGTCTCACCTGCGGGCGCCGGGACATCAGGCGGCGGCTACGCGGCAGGCCGGCAGCCGGGGGGCAGCGGACTGGCTCCACAGCTGGGCGCCTCCTCACCCACCCTCCTCCAACCCGCCCCCCAAAATAAGGTCATTTTCTACGCGATTAATCAGAATTGCAAACTATCGCTAAATTCTCTCCTGCACCAGCCGACTATCTGGAGACGGCTTTTACTTTTTTCTCCTTTAAGGGAGGATTAGCCAACTTCAAATCACTGCACTCGCATGAAGCTGTTAAGACAAAGGATTTAGGAGGATTTTCAAGATACAAACTTCAACACTTCACATGACACCGATCAATTCTTCCCTCTCTCCCTCTTTTTTAAAAAGCTGTAATGATTTTGAAATAATACCCAACAAAGAAAAATCAGGGGGATGAGAGGGGGGAGGAACGGGCTCCTACTTTCCGGCAGATGTGTCTGTCCGTCCCCCTGGGCCAGCCACACCGCCAGCTGTCATTACGGGGAGAGAGGGCGCACCAGGCAGAAAGTCCCAGAAAAAGTGGTTCCCTAGCTCTGGATGGCATGACACACACACACACACACACACACACACACACACACACACAGGCGGCAAATGGCACAAAGAACAAGAACGTTTTTGGAGGGGGGACTAGGAGACTTGACCCCTCCCCGGCAGGCTCTTCCTAGAAGCCAGCAAACTGTCCCCAAGGGAGCACGGCTGGGGTGGGCCACTCACTCTGCACGGCCTCGATCTTGTAGGGGATGTTAAGGCTGCCCAGCGAGGCGAGGGCGCCCAGGAAGGCGGCCACGTCCGTGGCGCTCTGGAAGCATTGTGAGGACGACTGGACACACTGCCGGTTGTCAATCTCCAGGTAGACGATGGATCTGGGGGGACACGCAGGTCAGGGGGCTCAGACCGCAGGTGTATGCCCTGCAGCCGCCCAGTTTACCCCTCTGGCTCAGGCGTGGTCCCGAAGGGGGGAGGTGCTCCCAGAATGGGAGGGTGGTCTGGGGTTGCAGGGAGCCAGGTCTGTACAGAATGACCTGGGGGGTGGGGGGTGGGGGGTGGGGGCAGTGTGCTCTGTCTCCAGCCCAGCAAGCCCAGCCCACGGCAGGTGCTCCCCAGACACCCCTCAAAGCACTCTCCCACCTGGCCCTGCAACCCTCCGCTGTCCCCTTGGGAGCCACAAGCACCCTCTCCCCCATCTCAGAAGGACAGAGGACTCAGGGATCTGGTTCCCCTCTGGAAGCTGACCCCAGCGCTGGAACACCGGCTGGGGGGTGGGGGGGGGGGGTCAGCAGCTCCGGCAGGAACGCCGCCTGCGCGGGCCCTATCAGTCCTGGACTCGCGGGACCCTCGGTCTCCTTCACCCGCAGGCCGGGAGGCGGCGCACTCCCCCGCACGCGCGCACTCACCCGCGGATGTCCATGGGGTCCAGCTCCCGGCGCCGGCGGCCGGCCCCGCCGCCAGGGAGCAGGGCGGCCTCCACCCGGTCGAGCAGGGCCCCGGGCGCGGCCCAGCCGTCCACGGCGCGCTTGATGGGGTGTTTGCGCAGCTCCTCCTCGCGGCCGTAGTAGGGGAAGACCATGGGCTGGCCGTGCGCGTCGCGCTTGAACACCACGTTGGTGTGCAGCAGGCGGCTGAGCTCCCGCAGGAAGTGCAGGGAGTTGTTGCGCAGCTGCGCGGGCGGCGTCAGCACCACCAGCACCAGCGCGCCGGCCGCCAGCCGCTCGGGCACGTGCTCCGCGCAGTCCAGCCCGTCCCACTCGCACTCCGCGCTGTTGCAGCCCTGGTCGCAGTGCCCGTCACCGAAGTGGTCCTTGCAGTACTGGTCGTACAGGGGGCTGCAGGCGCAGGGGCGCTCAGGCGGCCGCCGCCGGGCCCCGCCCACGCGCCCCTGGCCCCCTGCCTGAGCCCCACCCGCTCCCTACCTGCCCCCCCTCCCCGCCACGTCCCGCCTGAACCCCGCCCCCCACCCCCCCCCCCCCCGCGCCCTGCCTGAGTCCCGCCCACGCCCCAGGCCCCTCCCCCCGGGCGCCCCGCCCCCCCACGCTGCCTCACTTGCACTGGCCGTCCGCGCGCTGGCAGTCGAAGCCGTCGAACAGGCAGCCGGCCGAGTTGCACTGGCTGTCGCAGCGGCCGTCGCTGAAGTACTTCCAGCACTGCAGCGACTGCGAGCAGTTCTGCCAGGGGTCGTTGAAGTTGAGGGAGCAGTCGCCGCCGTCCCAGCCGCACGCGTGGTTGTTGCAGCCCAGGCTGCACACCTTGTTGCCCGCCTCCTCGCGGCACTCGGGCAGCTCGCACGCCTCCTCGATCTGCGGCGGGGGGATGTCGACGCCCAGGCCGCCCCCGAAGCTGTAGTCCAGGATGTGGCACAGGAGCCCGTTGAACTTGGCGGGGCACAGGCAGCGGTAGAAGGGGCTCTCGGGCACCGGCTCGCAGCTGCCCTGGTTGTAGCAGGGGTTGCCGCCCACGCAGGGGCTGCCGGCCGGGAACTGGCACTCGGGGCCCGTGAAGGGGCCCAGGCACAGGCAGGTGGGGCTGCGCGGGCCCGAGATGCACGTGCCGCCGTTGAGGCAGCGCAGGCTCCCGCAGGCTCGCGCGTCGTTCTCGCACGTGGCGCCCTCGAAGCCCTGCGGGGACAGGCAGCCGCGGCGGGCACGCGTCAGGGGGGCCCCTGCCCGGCCCGGCGATGCCGCTGCCTCTCCGCGCCCCCCTCGCCTGGGAGAGGGCCCACGACAACCCGTCCCGGGAGGGGAGAGGATGCGCGGGGCGCTGAGGAGCCCAGCGGGGCTCCGCACCGGCGGGGGGGGGTGACACTGCACGTCAGAGCCCAGAGCACGCCCGCGCCAGGAGCGACCCTGAAGGTTCAGCTCCGGCTCCTCCCGGTGTCGGCTCCTCCACCGTAACCCCTACCAGGAGAAGTCAAGATGCTAAAACGGGAAGTTGGGTGTGTGCAAAGGGGCGTGGCCAGTCCCCGCACGGTCTTTGTGGTAAAGCTGACGCTACTCTGAAAACGCTCGCTCTCGTAACGAGGGAGGCTAAGCCCGGCTCCAACCAAGCCCCGCCCTCTGGAGCATGGTGTGTGGAGGCATCGAGGCGGTGCCCTCCCGCCACCCGCGGACCAAGGAGCCCCCACGGCTGCACCTACCGCCGGGCACTTGCAGATGAACCCGCGGGCAGTGTTGGAGGCCACGGCGCAAGTGCCCCCATTCTGGCACGGCCTGCCCTTACAGCCGTTGATGACCGACTCACAGCGGCGTCCTGGGGACGAGAGCAGGCGTGAGGGGCCTGCCCGGCCCCCGCGGCCTCCGCCCCACCTTGCCGCGGCACCCACCAGTATGGCCCGCACGGCACTCGCAGTAGAAGTCGTTGACGCGCTGCACGCAGTTCTGGGTGCCGCGGGCGTCACAGGGGTTGGACAGGCACTCGTTCACGTCTCCCTCACAGCGCTCGCCCACGAAGCCGGGTGGGCAGGTGCAGCTGTAGCCGCCCACCTGGTCCACGCAGGTGCCGTTGTTAAAGCACTTGGGGCCCCGGGAGACGGGGTCGATGAGGGGATTGCAGTCGTCCACGTTGACCTCACAGTGCACACCTACAGAAGTGCGGACGCCGTCGGGGGGCCTGAGCGGGCCACGGGCCGGCCCGGCTCCCTCCTCGGGGCGCTCCCCTCGGCAAACGGTCAGGATGGGACCACACAGACGCTCGGGAGAGAGGACGCCGGCGACAGGGCCGCACCCCGGACTCGCGGCCCCGTGCCAGCAGCCCGCTCGCTCGGTCAGCCCTTGCACCTGCCTTCTGCCCCCACAAGGCAGAGCGGAAGCCCAGAGCGCTGGGCCTAGGGTGCTTCCGGCCAGGGCCCGGCCTGCCCGCTTTCCCCTGGGGCCCAGCCCTGGGGCGTGGCTGTTCCTTACCCTGCGTGCCCCGGGGACAGGAACACTTGTAGGTGTTGATGAGGTCGATGCAGGTGCCCCCGTTTTGGCATGGGTGGGACAGACACTCGTTGATCTCCTCAGAGCAGTTCACCCCGTGGTACCCGGCCACGCACTGTGCAGGGAAACAAACGAGGGGAGGGGGCCTGTGGCTTGGTGGGCGGCTGAGATGTGGCCCTCTACCCGCTGTGCAGGCTGATGGGGCCACACCACAGGCCACTCTCTTGATCCGTGAAGGCTTGAGTCCCTCACACCCGGCCGGCCCAGAGGGAGACCCTTGCCCAGCCGACTCTGATAAGCTGACAGTCACTGCCCGGAGCTCAGGCCAGAGCCGTGTCCTGTGGCCATGAGCTGGAGGCCCCGGGGCAGGTGTCAGCTGAGCCCGGAGACAGAGCTCTGGGGGGAGGGGACCCAGACGGAAACCCCATCCCATATTCCCGGGTATTCTTCCCGGCTCTCCCCGCCACGGGACGCCTCCACCAGGCAGTCTTCCCTGATTATCACCGCCCTCCCTTACTGGGACTGCGTAAAGTCGGGTTTAGTCCTCCCCACGGGGCCTGCTCGCGGCCCGGGGCCTGCCACACGATGTCACTCACGGCCGGCACCCCTTGCCCCCGGGGACGGGTCCCCACCTCGCAGGAGTAGCCGCCAGGGTAGTCGGTGCAGGTGGCCCCATTCTGGCAGGGGCTGGGCGAGCACTCGTCCACCTGGTCCTCGCAGTAGCTGCCCGTGTAGCCGGCCTGGCAGCGACAGTGGTGCGTGTTGCCCGCGTCCATGCAGAGCCCCCCGTTCCGGCACAGGTGGGTGACATTGATGTCTGGGGGGCGGGGGAAGCAGAGGGAGGGGGCCTCAGACCTCCTGGCGTCAGGGGGTGGACACCCGGGGGGCGCCGGGGAACCGTGGGCCGGGCCGGGCCGCCGGGTTACCTCGGCGCCGTGCGGCCACCTCGCAGGACACGTTGGGCACGTCGCAGTAGAGGCCGGTCCAGCCGCTGTGGCACTCGCAGCGGTACAGGGTGTTGGTCTGCCAACACTTGCCGCCGTTCTTACACGGTGAGGAGTCGCACCAGCGCACGAGGTTCTGGGGACAGCGGGGGTCGCCCGTGTTTACGCTCCCTCCCGGGGCTGACCCCGCGAGGCCGTGCGGAACACGCAGAACCTCGCGCCCACGCGGGCTTGTGAGGCCATCCTACAGACACGGGAACTTGAGGCCCCTGGGCCGCCCCCCCCCCCCCCCCCCCCCCCCCCGCCCCGCCATCGGGAGCGGCCTGGGGCTGGGGCTCTCGTGCTGGGGACTCGGCAAATCCCGAACACCAGCAGCCTGTCGTCGAAAGATTCCTCTCTGTAAGCAAGCTACTCTGTCGGAAGCCTCGTAACACATCTCACGGGAGACTCTTTAACAAAGACGAGGCTTCGGGACTTTTCCGTGTTTTCCGGAAAGACGCTGGCTTTCAGCTACGTTCCTGCCCCGCTTCTTTCTTACTCTTGCTTCGTAAACCCTTGCTCCCGAGCTGAGCGCGGCCCCGTTCCCCACCCGATTCCCGAGGTGGCACGTGGCCTCGGGCCGGCCAGCCGGCCGGCCGGGTCCCAGGAGCCGCGCGACCAAGGCCATCCCCGCCCTCCCGGCCCGGCTCTCGCCGCACCGGTCCACCAGCGGCGCGGGGAGGCCGACGGGCGGGGCCGGGCAGGGTGGCCGCGGGCGCCCCCGCGGCCCGTCGCTCACCTGGCAGTTGAGGCCCGTGTAGCCCTGTGGGCAGGTGCACTTGTAGGTCCCGTAGGTGTCCTGGCAGGTGCCGCCGTGCAGGCAGGGCCGAGAATCACACTCGTTGACATCGTGCTGGCAGTAGCTGCCCGTGAAGCCAGGCGGACAGAGACAGGTGAAGGAGCTGATGCCGTCCACGCAGGTGCCGCCGTTGAAACAGGAGCTGGAGGCGAGCAAGCAGCAGGGGAGAAGGGTGAGGGGGGCGTGCGGCCCTGCCCGAGACGCTTCCCCTGGACTCGGACTGCGGCGGAAGGGGCCCGGCAGCTACAACAGGTGGCGGGCAGCCCGGACGGCCTCAGGGAGGTCGACGGAAGCCCCGGGAGGCCCCAGCGCGGGGCCGGGGACCGACCGCAGGCTCTCACGGCACCTTACGCCCGCTTCCTCTGCCTCTTTTACGAGCCACGCCGGGAAGAGCTTTAAACACACGGGTATGTGGTAGTTAACATAAAAATGAGGAAGGAACCAGAATCTGCACGGACAGCGTAGGTGAGTGTGTCGGAGGGCGCGAGAACGCTGAGCTTCCCGGCAGCCAAGGGAAAAAGCGAAACAAGACGGGCCACAGGGTTGAGGCTGACAGAAGGGGGCACACCAGTTGTCCAGGAGAAACCCCCCCGGGCTCCCGGGTCTCACACTGGTCGGCAGACAAAGGCTCGTTTAGAACACGACGTCTGCCGCGGTGGGTGGGGAGAGCCGGCCAGGTGGACACCCGCTGGGTGCGCCCGGCCGCCAGGTGCCGTGCCCGGCCCCCGCGGCCTGCTGCCCTGTGCGGCGCCCTTGCCTCTCTGTGCAGTCGGGAGTGTTGTTCTCGCAGTGGATGCCGCTGAAGCCCGTGGGGCAGGTGCAGGTGTAGCTGTCCACGCAGTCGGTGCAGTTGGCTCCGTGGTGGCAGGGGTTGCTGGCGCACTCGTTGATGTCCTCCTCGCAGAAAGCCCCCCGGAAGCCAGGCAGGCAGTCGCAGAAAGCCGTGTTAACGCCGTCCGTGCAGGAGCCGCCGTTGTGGCACGGGTCGGGGGCGGGGGGGGGGGGGGGCGGAGAGAAGGCAGGCCTGAGGGTGGGCTGCGGCGTCCCCCCGAAGCTGGGGGCCCACGGCCCCCCACTCCTAGGCCCCAGGGCAGGGGCAGAATGTGTAAGCTCAACAGTCAGGCTGACGAGGTTGGCGCCATCGTGTCCCCTGCCCGCTTGGTGACACCTGTCTGGGCCTCAGTGTCCTACGACCCAGGGTCGGGGCGGAGAGCCCTGCTCCCCGCTGGGTCATGACAAGGACCAATAAGGCTGCACGATGGGAGGAGCTACCCCAGCCCGCGGGGAGAGGCGGCGGCTCGGAGGCTTCTGGAACCACCCAGAACCACCCCTGGTCCACACGAGGCCCACAGCTCTGCCAGCAGCAGCCACCGCCCCCCCCCCCCCCGGCGCCCCCCAGCATTTCGTCTCGTTGAGCTCAGTGCCCTGGGCACATCCCCGGGCACTGCGTCGTGGGTCCTCCCGCCTGGTGCCAGCCCGCTCCCTGCCCCGCGCCCGCCCAGAAAAGCGCAGGGCCACGCGCATTGACAGGTGGCCGAGCGGGCCCCGCCACGCACTGGGTCGGCAGTCATCCACGTCCGTCTCGCAGTCGTGCCCCGTGTAGCCGGCGCGGCAGCGACAACGGTAGCCGCCGTTGGTGTTGTGGCAGGAGGCGCCGTGGCGACAAGGGTTCTTAACACACTCGTTGATGTCGACCTCGCACGTCTGTCCTGGGGGAGGAGGAGGGGGCCGACAGTTCAGCCCCCGCCCTCCAGGCCTCTCCGGCAGCCTTCTCTGCCCCGGGACCGTCCCCTGGGGGCACCCCAGGAAGGAAGGGGGCTCTCCGACTTGCGTTCCCCCAGTTTGGGGCCAAGCAGACAGAAACTGGGGGTGGGAAGGGCCCTGCCAGGCCCATCTCTGCTTCCAGAGCCCCTACAGGTGGCTCTGCAGCCTGCAGAGATGGGGAGCCCCCCAGACCTCCCGCCCCAGGGGAGCGAACCCAGGCAGGGCTGCAGGGCCAGGAGGCCTCACCTTGCCAGCCTGCAGGACAGACGCACGAGAAGCTCTCGAAGTCCTCGGACTCCTGGCACTCGCCACCGTTCCTGCAGGGACCAGGGGCGCACGGGGCCAGCACCACCTCACACGTGGCTCCTGAGGGCAAGGGGGACAGCGTTGAGACCCAGGGGGCCTGGCCCAGAGGACCAATGCCCCGTGGCATCTCCCGACGGAGGCCCTGATGGCCCCTGAGCCGCCACAGTCCTCTGACGGCCCCATGGGGCAGGAAGGGGGGCGGAGGCTGGTGCTGCCCTTGGGACCATGGGCGAGCTCCCGGCGGAGTGAGAACCCAAACCGGGGGGATACTTGGCTCCAAAACTGTCCCCGCAGGACGTGGCCTGGGCCTCGACCCCTCGGGAGTGCCTGCTCCCGGCCTCACGCCCTCTCCTGGTCTCCTGGAGGCCTTAGAGCTCCTCCCAAGGGCTCTGGGGCCACAGGCAGCCCGCAGCTGGTCACGGAGGCCACTGAGCAGAGGCCGGACAGCAGGGGAGGAGCCCCGGCCCCAAGCACCCCTCCCCGTCAGGGAGCACCTGTGGCACGGGACCCCGGTGCAGGGAAGGGAGTCTCGCCAGAAGCGGGTCACACTGGGGCGACTCTCCTCCATGGAAACCCAGCGGACAGCCTTCCTGTTTACGGCCGTGGGGGCTGATTCCCGGGGAAGAAAGGAAGCACTATCTTCCCCGTAGCCCATTATCTCCCTGGCCTGCTGGTGCGAGTTTCCAAGGCCTTTCTTTCTATCTGTTTCCACGGTGACCTAGGCAGGCAGGAAATTCGCCAGAGTTTCCGACAATTGTGCAGAGGGAAGCAGGAAGTGGGCAGACGGGAAGCAGGTCAGCACAGGCCGGCTCCTCCCCACCAGGCCCGCCAGCCCCCGATGCTGTGTCTGCAAGGGACTCGTGCGTCCCAGGCAAGGGGCCCCTGGGCGGCTACCGGCCACAAGCTGCCTCACCAATGCAGGAGAGAAAATCCAGGTCCCCAGCTCTGGCCACAGGCTGCCTCGTGTGGTGGGAGCCACCAGCACGGAGACAGGCCCCCTCCTCCCCACCCCCCAGCCTGGAGGGACAGGGCTCTCTCGGGACCTCCAGGCTCGTCAGCAGGGAGGCCCGAAGCTGTCCCCAGCGGCAGCACCCTCGACCCACTCCCAGTGGGACCCAGGGGCAGTAGTGGCTGTGGACTTTTGTTTTTTAACACTTTGCAAATCTCTTCCACGGAGGGGACCATTTCCTGCGATCCCGTTGGCCGGGCCAACGGCAGACGCTGGGACGCCCAGGGAAACGCCTCCCGCCTCTGCTCGGCGCTAACAGAGGGCTCCTTGTTTCCCGGACACAAAGAGGGCCCGCCGTCAAAGGAATCCCTCAGGCCCGGCCAGCAAGGTGGGGGGGGGGGGTGGCAGTCCGGCCCCCAGGGGCCCACGCAGTGTGGACGCTGGGCCGTGGAGGCCAGCAGCCCAGGCCTAGCTCGTGGCTCTGCTGTGGAGCACCCCATCTCCTCCCCTCCCAGGCAGGCTGGCCAAACCAAGTACTTGGGACACGCTCGTATTAAGATCGCTGTCCAGTATCCTATACAGTCGTGTGTGACTTTGGCAACGAAACTTGCGGAATGAGGCCCGAATGTGGCCAGCCCTCAGCCTCCACGTGGCGAGCGGAACTCTGGGTGTACCTACTGAGTCAGGAGGCCCGGCCGGCCCCAGGAAAGCCACTGGGCACACACTGTGCCACGCAGGCCCGCACCCACCCACAGGCCCTGCCCTCACCTGTGTAGGGCAGGGGGCAGTTGCACGTGTAGCCGGCCACATCATCGATGCACGAGCCCTGGTTCAGGCACGGGTTAGACGCACACTCGTTGATGTTGGTTTGGCAATTGGGTCCTGGAGACAGAGGGCCGGTGGTGAGTGCGCCCATCACCCCAGAGGTTCTGAAGGGGCCCCCTAGGGTGGAGGGAGAGCCCCGCGCCGAGCCTACCCCGGTGGGTCTGCCCTGAGGGCAGCTGGTGCCTGTGGCAGGAAAGAGGAGCGAGGCGCCGCGGTCCCACCGCCCCCCGAGGGCCCGCTCTGCGCCAGCACCCCTGCCCGGCCCCACTCACCACTGAAGCCCTCGCGGCAGGTGCACACGTAGCCGCTGGTCATGTCTCTACAGGCACCCCCGTTGGCGCAGGGGTTGGACTCACACTCGTTGGTGTTGATGTCGCAGTGAGCCCCGCTCCACCCGGGGTCACAGTCACACGTGTACCTGCAGGGGTGACCACGGCACCATTCAAGCGCGCCCAAGCTCCCGGCCCTGCTGCCGTCCCCAGGCCTCATGGCACGCGGGGGGGGGGGGGGGGCCCCCCCCCCCGAGAGTCCTTTCGCGGGGGGACCCCAGCCCCCACCCCGCCCAAGAGGGCGGCATGGGTGTGGCCGTGCCACATCCGGGCAGTCGTCAGAAGGCCACCTGCCACTCACCCACCACGTGGCCTTGGACACAGAGTACGGGGTCCCCGCCCGCACCAACAGCCCCATCCACGCGGCCAGCGCTGGGTGCGGAGCAGGTGTCAGGAACCAGATGAGCTCTGCCTCCGCTCCACACCCTCGCCCTGCCGACACCACGCGTGCGGGGGCCACGCCAGCCGGGTGTCCTACAACTCGCTCCCGGGAGGGACGCCCCGGGAGAAGGGCTCGGGCCCACACACAGCACCCACGCCAGACGCCCATCATGGGGGCCGGGCTGTCACCTGTACTTCTGACCGACCAGCCACATACCCGGTTTCCCAAGACCCTCTCCTCGGGACGGAGATTGGCTAGAACGGCTCCCGGAAGTCAGAAAAGGGCTTCGCTCGCTAGGCCAGTGGTTTGCTACGCAAGCCCAACCTTAGAACAACCCGCACGGGTTGAGACGCACGGGACAAGGTGTGGGGGAGGCATGGGCTCCTGTGCTCTGGGCGCCACCCTCCCGGCACCTCCAGCTGCCCTCAGCCAGGAGCTCTCTGAACCCCACCGGTTCGCGCTCTTCTGTCACTCAGGCACGGCTGGTGAACTCCACCTGCAGCCCCTCTCCTGCTTGGAGGTGGGGGTGGGACTGTGACCACGCTGCTGGCCCCCAGACCCCCATCCTTAGGCGACCTTGGCCACCTCCTCAACACAGACCCAGGTGTGCCCCTTTCACCTCCGCGGGATGGGAGCCGTTTCAGCAGCCAGGGCGGAGAACAAGGTAGACCCCGGTGTCAGACACATGCGTGCTGGCTGCCGCTGACCCACAAGCGCGTCCGGGGCCCCGTGACCACACGTGGCCGTGCCGGGCACACACCAGGAGCCGGCGAGGGCCCTGCGAGCCCTTGCCCGTGACGGGCACCCGCTCCCGGCCTGTCCGAGGCTCCACGCAGGCCTCTCCCTCGCCCGCCAGCCTCCGGGGACAGAGCTCCCGCCCGCACCTACCCGTTGAGGCTGTCCCGGCAGGCCCCATGGATGCAGGGGTTGCTGCTACACTCGTTGACCTCGGACAGGCACGTGGGGCCGTGGTAGCCCTCGGGGCAGCGGCAGGTGAAGCTGTTGGTGCCGTCCTCGCAGGTGCCCCCGTGGTGGCAGGGGTTGCCCGCACACTCGTCGATGTTGACGTTGCACATGCTCCCTGGAAGCGGGGAGGGGGGCTCAGATACCCACAGCCGGGCCCCCCCCGGAAGAAGGGGCAGGGGGGTCTTCATGAGCAAGTTCTGGCCCCTCGGCGCCTCAGTTTGCCCCTGTTGAACCAGGGACGACACCCAACCCCTCTCCCCGGGTCCTCCCGAGGCGTAACCTGGGTAAGCGGGGGCTTCGCATGGGAGCACAGCGCCAGCCGGCCGGGCCCAGAGGACAAGGCCGGCGTCAGCCCAACCGCCCAGAGACGCCTTCGGGGAAGACACGGGACGCACGCCCAGAGGAGTCTGCCCTGACCAGGGATGAAGGGCTCGAGGGTGCCCGTCCCGGTCCTGGTCAGAGCCCCAGGCCTCCCGTGGTCTCTGCCCCAATGGCCCGAGGCTGGCAGCCGGAGAGCTGGGCCCTGGGTGGAGGCCTGCCCCGTCCTGCCCACCTGGGGACCCGGCTGAGTCGCTGGCCTCGACCTCGGCCCCTGCAGCAAGGGCTTGAGGGGCCTGGGAGGGGCAGAACCCCAGCGGTCCCTAGGCCCCAGGCCGCTCACCTGTGTAGCCCGGCTCGCACGAGCACTCGTAGCCGCCTATCTTGTCCAGACACGTGCCTGAGTCACAAGGGCTGCTGGCACAGTCATCCAGGTTGGTCTCACAGTTGGGTCCTGGCGGTGGGCAGCACCGGAGGTCAGCTCCTGGGCCCCCCCACCGGCCCCCCACCCCCCCCCCCCCGCCCCCCCGCCCCCCCCCCCCAGGCACCTGTGGTCCCCTTGAGGCAGAGGCACAGGTAGGCGTTGTCGCGGTCCTGGCAGGTGCCGCCGTGGCGGCAGGGCTGGCTGTGACACTCGTTGACGTTGGTCTCGCAGTGGTGGCCCGTGTAGCCCGGCCGGCACAGGCAGGTGAAGGTGGCAACGCCATCCTTGCACGACCCGTAGTGGCAAGGATCGGGGTCACACTCGTCAATGTCCACCTCGCAGTGCGGCCCCGTGTAGCCTGCCGGGCAAGGCCAAGGGCACTCAGGGCGGCTGCTCCCGGAAAGGCCCCAACCACGCCCAGGCTCTCCCGGAGCAGAGGGGGGAGGGTGCCGTTCATCACAGGACTCCCCGCCCCTTCCCCAGACCCGGGAACCTGCCCACCCTCTGTCCACCGGCCCCGCACCTTCCGTGCACACGCAGGTGTAGGTGTTGGGCCCGTCCAGGCACTTGGCGCCGTTCCTGCAAGGCGTGCTTGCACACTCGTCCACGTCATACTGACACAGGTGCCCGGTGAAGCCTGCGGCGAGGACAGGGAGGCAGTCGGACGCAATGGGTGCCGGGGGCCCCGTGGCCGAGCCCCCGCCGGGCCACAGCAGGGAGTCCCTCTCCAGGCCACGCTCCGGCCAGGGCTCAGTAGCCCTCCTGACCTCTCCTCTTGCTCCCTCTCAGCTCCTGCCCCTGCCCCTGCAGGAGGGGCTTTTCTCATACGGACTCCGGCTACTATGGTCCCAGCCGTCCCGCGGTGAACGAGGTCCCCCACTCAGCGTCTGCGACGGCTGACTGACACCTTGCAGGCCCACGGCTCTGACCTGCCAGGCCTCCCGAGTGTCGGCGTCCTGCACCTACAGACCCTCCGGCCGCCGGCTCCTGGAGCCCTCCTGTTGTGTCTACTGCAGGCCAGCAGAGGTGGGGAGGGCGGGGCAGGCCGACTCCCTCCCAGCTGCGAGCCCTCAGAGAGCCGGGCTGGCATCTCTTCGCCACCTGAGCTCCCCGGGGACCTGGGGACTATAATCCCGCTCCCAGGGGAGCCCCAGCGGCAGGGAGGATTTCTGGGTCCCGGGCTCCCCCTAAGCCCAGCCTGACCTGGCCTGGCCTGACCACTCCCGAAGTGAAGTCCTTGCAGGCCAGTCCCTGGGGGACCCGCCCGGTGCCCCTCAGGACAGGACAAGGGGCTCCCGTAGGACCAGGCCCACGCCTGAGCTAGGCCTCCTAGTGGGTCGTCGGAGCTCCCGGCCCGCCTCCCCCAGAGGGAGGGTGGGGGCTGGGCAGCAGCCCTGCTGGGGACGGGCCTCACCTGTGGGGCACTCGCACAGAAACTCGTTGATTTTGTCCAGGCAGCGGCCGTTCTGGAGGCAGGGGCTGCTGGCGCACTCGTCCGTGTTGACCTCACAGTGCACGCCCTCGTAGCCTGGGGCGGGGGCGGGGAGGGGGCACAGGGGTCCGTGAATAGCCGCGGCCACCCCCCACCGCAGCTCAGGGCAGAGAGACTGACGCCCACGCCAGCTGCCGGCAGAGGCGACTGGCCGGCACCCTCCGTACCCGTTCTCCTGCGGCTCACCTGGCCCCCCGGGCCCCCCCCAAGCCCTGGCGCTGCCCCTCTGGGCTGGTGCCCCGCGGGCTGGCCCGGGCGAGCGCGGAGGCCGGGGGCACAGAGCGGTCGCCAGGGGCGCCGCAGCGGGGTCACCGCGACAGGCAGGAGGCTGGCTCCACGTACCCGGCATGCAGATGCACTGGAACTCCCCGATCTGGTCCAGACAGGTGGCGTCATTCTGACACGGGTTCGAGATGCACTCGTTGACGTCAATCTCGCAGCGCGGGCCCGTGTAGCCCTGCAGACACTGGCACTCGAAGGAGCCCAGCGTGTTGATGCACTTGCCCGCGTGCTCACAGGGGTTGGCGCCTGGTAGGGGCCGGGGTGGGGCGGCACCGGTGAGAGCCTGCTTCGGGCACCCCGGCCACCGGACCATTCTGGGGCATGCCCGCCTCCCCCATCAGACTGGCAGTCCTCTCTGTTGGAGGCGGGGGGGGGAGGGGTGTGTGTGTGTCACGCCTCCCCCGTCAGACCAGGAACCCTCTGAGGGCAGAGTTGATGTCCCAGACTCCCCAGTCCCCCTCCCCCCACCGCACGACTTGCCCGGCGCACCCAGCGAGCACTCGTCCACGTCCTGGCTGCAGGCCGGGCCCGTGTACCCGGAGGGGCAGGTGCAGATGGCCTTGCCGTTGACGGGGTTGGTGTCGCAGTTGGAGCCCTCGTTGCAAGGGTTGCTGATGCAGGCGTCGTTGAGATGGCAAAGCAGACCTGGGCGGGGCAGCCGCGGTCAGCGGGGCGCTGCCTCTCCCGGCCTGGGTCTGCCGCCCGGCTCCACAGGGACGGACCTCCCACGGCCACGCTGCCCGGCGGCCCCGTCGGGCCCACGACCCTCAGGCTACCCTGGGGGGCTCGTCGCCAGCAGGCCCCCCCCCCCCCGGGCACCCCCGGCCTCCTTCCCTCCAGAGGGGCCCCTTCGGCAAAAGCCGTCAGCCGTGCGCCTGAGCGAGGCTGCGCACGCCAGGCAGGGCCGGGGAGCCCAGGGAGGTGGTGCCACGTCCCCCGTGCCCGCCCCCCGCCCCCCAGACCCGCCTCGGGGGCAGCCCCGCCCCCCGTGGCCGGGGCGCTCACCGGTGCGGCCATGAGGACACTCGCAGTAGAAGGAGGCCACTCGGTCGTGGCAGGTGGCCCCGTGGAAGCAGGCGGCGCTGGCACAGTCGTCGATGTTCTCGCTGCAGTCTTCCCCCGTCCAGCCGTTGACGCACACGCAGTTGTAGCCGCCGTGGGTGTTGTGGCAGGTCCCGCCGTTCTGACAGGCGTTGGGCATCAGCTGGCACTCGTCGACGTCCTCGGTGCAGTACTGGCCTGCGAGGGCCCAGCCCGTCACGCCTCGACCACCGGGCCCGGGGGCCACCGCCCCCGGGAAGCCTTCCCAGGCAGACTCCTCCACCCACTGCGGCCTGGACCGCTGTATCCCCGCCGCCCCCTGCCCCCCGGCCTGGCCGGGCCGTGGCCCCGTCGCTCTGCTGCGGGCACCGGTGCTCCGGGGGGGGGGGGGGGGGGCCCCCCCCCCCCCCCCCCCCCCCCCTCCCCGGTCGCGGGCAGGGGCTGCCCCGGGTCACGCCGCCCTTCCCGGACCGCGCTCCCCGTGCGGGCACTGTGTCGGGCGGGGGGCGCTCCCCTGCGTGTGCACCTGTCCACTCGGGTGGGCAGCGGCAGTTGTAAGTGTTCACGCCGTCCACGCAGGTGCCTCCGTTCCTGCAGCTGTTTCCGGGACAGTCGTCGATATTGTCCTCGCAGTTCTGGCCGGTGAAGCCTGCGGCCGGGGGGGAGCCAGGAGCCCGGTCAGGCCCTGCCCATCTGTGCTCGCCCCGGCATCTTCCTGGCTGGACCCACGACACCCTGCTCCGGACCAGCTGCCGCCCCCCACTCAGGGCCTGCCCCGGGACGCCCACCACCTTGGGGCCCTCGGGGTCCAAGCCCCATCCCCTGGTCCCCCTGTTCCCTGTGTGACCAGGCCCCGCACTCCAGGGCCCACGTGTGACGCGTTCCTCTCTGAGGAATCATCGTGCAAAGGGCCCGCTGAACAGACGGGGACTTGGGAACACGGGATCCTGGACGTGGCGTCGTAAAAATCCCGCGTAGCAGAGTTAACCACGGGCGGCTGTAAGCGGGTGCTGCCTGCAGGTGAGGCGCTGTGCTGGGGCCGGGGAGGGCTCCAGGCAGAAGCCCGGAGGAGGCAGGGCGGACACGCGGCCCTCAGTTTCCCCGGAACAGAGGTGTGATGCCCGCTTCTCCCCCCCTCCCCCGGCCAAGCCGGGCCAACCTCTGTCAACGTCGCCTCCACACCAGTCACCTGTTAACCCGCTCAACTCCCGCCGGTTCAATCATCAACCCACAAAGGTGCGCCTGGCAAGAGCCCAAACCTACAGCCAGTTACTGATTAATGCCCCTCCCGGGGCGCCTTTGAACCTGTCTCCTGCCCGAGGAGAGCCGATCCCCTCCCTCGGGCCGCCCACCCCACCGGTGCCCTGGGGGGTAAAGCAGGTGGTCTAGAAGAGCTGAAGTGGACAGTGTTTTAGAGGGAGTGCCCCAAATCAGAGCCCGGAGCCCGAGTTCTGGCTCCCACGTGTGTTGTAGGGGCCTGAGCACGCCTCCCCGCCCCCCACCCCAATACCCCTGAGGGTCTCCTACAGGGCCGTGCGGCACACAAGCCTGGCGAGCCCCCGCCGGGAGAATCTCGCCCCGCTGGCCCCCGCGGGAGCCAGCACCAGCTCCATGAACAGGGTGTCCCCCGGCGGGTCGCCCCACGGCCCACGTCCTCCAGCCCTCACTGTGGCCCCTGGAGGGCAGGCTTCTCTTGAGACACGTGGCTGGATGCGAGGTCCCAGGCCCGAGGTCACCAGGCCAGCAAAAAGGCATCTGAACCCAGAACCCAGGGGCGGGCCTGGCGAGTGGGCTTATCTCTTGGCCCCCAGGGACAGCTGACCAGCCAGCAGCCCTGGGGTGGTCAGGGGGCAAGGGGAACACCCAGCGACACTCGGGAAACGCACACAAAGCTGGCTGGAGCGGTGACGAGGCCCCGGGCTTGGCGGCGGACAGGCAGGCAGAACGCTTCCCCTTTGCAGGGGCCGCTGGGTCAATCCTCCCGTCGCGCCCGGGACCCAAACCCCACCGACCCAGGAGGTTTTTAAGCCTCTGGCCAACGTTATTATTTTTAGATCACCAGCCGCAAAACTGACTCAAAAGCTACGGCGGGAAGACCAGCCCCTACAGCAGGGACAGCGACCCCAGCCCCCACAGCCAGGCCACCGGAGTAGGGGGGCAATGACGTGAGTTCCGACCACATGGAAACAAGAGACCCGGGGAGGCACAAACAAGGATGTCCCTGCAGCTGCGCCTCGTTCCCTAACTTGCACATGGCCCTGGGGAATTCAAGGTGAGGGGCTCAGAGCAGGGCGAAGAGTCAGGGGCCGCGAGGGCAGCGGCACCCGCGGGGCAGAGGGAGCACTGGGGAGGATACGCCCGTCCAGCCAGGCTCAGCCAGGAGCCCGCCCTGGGGGCTGCGGGGACCCCGGGTCCCTGGCATGGGGGACAAGTGCTGGGCGGCTGCAGCGGACCCCACCCCCAGGCAGAAGTGAGAAGGTGGGAGACCAGGGAGATGCCCGGACCCTGTGCCAGCCTCCCCTAACTGGTACCGCCTTTCCAGAGCCGCCCGCCGTCCTGTGTGTGCTGGGACACCGTCCTCCGAGCCGCGGCCCGGCCCGCACCCCCGGGGCCTCCCCGGGGCAGTACCTGGCAGGCAGGCGCACTCGTGGGTGGTGTCCCCCGTGGGGCGGCAGGTGCCCCCGTTCTGGCAGGGTGAGGGGCTGCAGGGCACGTAGGGCAGCTCGCAGTGGGGGCCGGTGTGGGTGGCGCGGCAGGCGCAGCGGTAGGAGCCGACCTCGTTGTGGCAGGTGCCTCCGTTGCGACAGAGCCCGGGGCTCTGGCCGCACTCGTTGACGTCCTGCCTGCAGGTGGGGCCGTGGAAGCCGGGCGGGCAGCGGCAGATGTACGAGGCCTCGAAGGGCAGGCACTGGCCGCCGTTGGCACATGGGTTGGAGGCACACGGGTCGGCCTGCTGGCACATCTTCCCTGGGGGGCGGGGGGGGGGGGGGGGGTCACGCCGGTGTCCAGGGACGCCTTCCAGGCACCGTGGAGGTGCCAGCCTGGCGCAAACCTGTCAGCACGGTCTCTTTAATTGCCGGGACCCCACGACAGGACACGGCCATCTTCCTGGAGACGGGGACCGCGGTTCCCGGGACACACGGCCAGCGGGGGCAGGGGGCCCCCGAGACCGGACCCAGACTGTCCCCTCCAGAGTTCGTGTTCTCCGGAGAGCTCGCCGTCGGGGCTCCTGATGCAGGGCCCTCCTCACTAGACGGAGGGCCCCCTCCTCGCAGAGGCAGGGAGCCCCGGGGTTCCCGGAGCGGATGTCGGGGCTGGAGAGGGGCCCGGGGACTCGAGGGCGGGGGTCACAGACTGCAGAAAGCCCTGGCCTTCTCCCAGCACGTCACGGTACACGGGCAGTGGGGGGAGGGCCGGGGCCGGGGCCGGGGCCGAGGGGGGGGGGGGGGGGGCCGGCGCGGCCCTCACCTGACCAGCCGGGGGGGCAGCGGCACTTGTACTCGGTCAGGGTGAGCAGGTCACAGGTGCCGCCGTTGCGGCAGGGCTTGGCGAGGCAGGCGTTGTCCCGGGGCGTCAGGCAGAGGGGCCCGGAGAAGCCCAGGCGGCAGGAGCAGGCGTAGTCCACCGTGCCGCCGTGGTCCACCGCGTGGCACGTCCCCGCGTTCTTGCAGGGGGCGCTGAGGCAGGGGTTGGGCGCCTGGCATCGCCGGCCCGCGAAGGCGCCGCTACAGCTGCAGCAGACAGGCCGGAGCGGTTACTCCCACCGGCTCCCCGCACCGTCCCCGGGGAGCGCCAGCCGCTGTCGGGCCCCGCCGCGGGCGGCACGTCCCGGGACCAGACAGCGCTGGGGGGCCGCACGACCTCACGCGTGGGCCAAGCGCCGTGGCGCCGTGCGCCTTCAAGCGGCGAACCGTACGTTAAGTGAATTTCACCTCATGTTAACTGGGGCAACGGGCTGGAGACCCGCGAAGCCGGACCTGATCGCAAAACCCTCGTGAGCGTCTGTGTGGCCACAGAGAAGGGGACACACGGGCCCACAGCCGCTCCCGGGGAGGGGGTGCCCCGAGACCCTTTGGTGTGGGGGGCTGGTCTCCTCCTCCTACCTCAAGCTGTTCTGTAACCAACGTGCCTTATTTGGGTAAAAAAACAGTCCCCAGCTTTACTTTTTTTCTTCTTTTTTTTTTTTTTTTTTAAATTTTAAATGGTGTTTTTTTTTTGGGGGGGGGGGAGGGGGGGGGGGGGAGAGAGGGAGAGTCAGAGTGAGAGGGAGACACAGAATCCAAAGCAGGCTCCAGGCCCTGAGCTGTCAGCACGGAGCCCGACGCAGGGCTCGAACCCACGAACCGCGATATCGTGACCTGAGCCGAAGTCGGACGGGTAACTGACTGGGTCACCCAGGCGCCCCCCAGCTTCTCTTCTTTCTTTTAAAAAAAAATTTTTTTTTTCCAACGTTTATTTATTTTTGGGACAGAGAGAGACAGAGCACGAACGGGGGAGGGGCAGAGAGAGAGGGAGACACAGAATCGGAAACAGGCTCCAGGCTCCGAGCCATCAGCCCAGAGCCTGACGCGGGGCTCGAACTCGGGGACCGCGAGATCGTGACCTGGCTGAAGTCGGACGCTTAACCGACTGCGCCACCCAGGCGCCCCTAGCTTCTCTTCTTTCAATACCCACGTGATCAACAGACATAAGGCTGTAGACACAGCAGAGTGGCTCCCGCCGGGGTCTCACCTGCCGGGGGCACCACAGCTGGCAGCCCATCCCCCACCCACGCTTAGCGCCCAGACACGGTCTCCCCCTTTGGCATCAAGTCTGCACGATGTCCAGGCAACATCAGCTGGGAGCAGACAAACCCATTTCCCAGCAGGAGAAATCAAGGTGCGCCAGGAGGAGCATACTTCCTGAGCTCTTGGCGAGCCGGCCGGGCTGGGGAGCAGGGGGGAGCAGGGGGAGCATGGGGGTGAAGGCCACCATGTCTGCTGGGTCTATGCTGTACCTCTCAGCACACTGCTCAGTCTCCAACAGGAGCAGATGAACGGGGGGGAGGGGGGGTTCACACGGCTTCTTTGCAGGGACAGGGCTCAGCACATGTCACCCCACCACAGGGCCTCCCTTGGCCACCTGTTGGTCCGGCTTCTGGAGCCTGGGCCACAAATTGCCCACCGAGGTCACCTTGTGGCCTTGTACTCGAGGGAAAAGCTCAGGAAAGGCTCTGGGACCAGCCAGGCATTGTTCTTCCCAGGCGCAAAGCCTCTGAGGCATAACGTGCCCCCGGCCCGCCCCCGGGGCCGCCATGGCCTGGGAAGGCAGCCGGGACGCTGCACCCACAGTCCTGGGCCCTGGGTGGGCGGGGCCTCCTCCCCCTGGCAGAGGTGGGGGGCTGGCGGGGAACCTCGGGTCCCCGCGTGAAGAGGGGGCTCTCCCAAACATGAAAACACCCCCGCTTTCAGAGCCCACCCGTCACACGGGGACCTCCACCCTCAGCAGAGGGCAGCCTGTTCGTCCTCACTGCCTTCCCCCCGCCCTGCCTGACCCAGGAGCTGGAATCAAGCCTGCATGGGTCGGGTGGCCGTCGTCGGAGGGGCTGGGGACTCTGCATGCCTGGGAGGCATCTGTCTCCCTGAGGGCTTTTCTCTGCGGCTACGGCTTGGGTGCGGCGGACAAGGACAACACGAAATGGCCACTGGGGCTCACCATCTGTTGTCAGAAGCCAAAAGTCCCAAACCAACTGGCTTAAAGAAAACAGGTCACCTCCGGGGCCCCAGGGAGGGAACTCAGGCGGAGTGAGGCTCCTGCCCAGCCTGGTCAGACGGGCGCAGTGGGGCCGGCCGGCTCCTGTGAGGAGGACAGACCCCAGGAGCAGGTCCCCTCACCCCGGCACGGCCACACTCCAGGAGGCTGGGGAAGGGGGTGCTCGGATCCAGTTACAGACCGCCTGGTCCCGGCCCGAGTGGCACTGTGGGCTCGGAGTGCAGCGATGGGGGATGGGGGCGGCAAGGCAGCGCCTCCCCCAACCTATCAATGCCCTCCATTGTCAGGCGGGAGCTGGCCACCGCTCACCGCTTGGAGAAAAGGCTCGTTTTTCTTTCCCAGCCACTGACGGAGCGGGCGGGTGGTGGGCACTGGAGAGAGGGCGCTTGGTCATCAGAGCAGGGTGGGAGCCCGCCTCATCCACACCACCCCCTTCCTCTCTGAGCCCTGCTGGCTTGAGGGGAGGGAGGCCTTCGTGGTCCCAGAGGGTGTCCCTGGGGCTCCCCTGCCACCAGACCAATCCCTAACTCGTCAGGACGCTGGGCGTCCCCAGAGGCACCAGAAGGCTCTGCCCGGACGCGCACCCCAGACCCTCCAGCCACGGGACAATATCCCTGTGAACGGGCCCCTGCTCTCCAGCCCCCCGCCCCCACCCCCCCGAGTGGGGACCCCCGTGGGAAGACTGCGGGAGAGCCCACCTGGACGGGTCACATCCTAGCCAACGAGGCTGGGTCACGCCGGGCCAGCAAGGGAAAACATGCCAATAAATCAGGCGTCGGTAGTGCGGACAAAGGCTGGCCGGGGAGCAGGTGCGCCTGTGGCCGGGGACGCGGGCGGCAGCTGCTCCCAGCCGGGCGCGGCGGGCCGCCAACCAGGGCGGGCGGGGCAGGAGCCAAGGAGGCTCCTCCGCGGGGGAAGGCGGCAGCTGACAGGGCCCATTGTCTCCCCTGCTCCTGCCCAGGCCAGGCGGACACCGCCGCGAAGGCACGCCGCCCAGCCCCACGGCTGCCGTGCACCGTCAGCGCCCCAGCTACAGGAGGGGCGGCCCCTGGAGACGGAACAGTAGAGGCAGGTGTTTTGTGTGGTGTGTGGGGTCCGAGGTACGGCCGGGGCTGGGCCGGGAGCCTGAGCCAAGAGGAAGCACCAAGCCCGGCACAGCGTCTGGGCCTCGAGGCGAGCGCGGAGGTCTGGGCCAGTCCCGAGGCCACCCTCCCCGCCACCCCCACTCTGGGGTGCTCCAGCTCCGGGCCGCCCGCGGCCGGGCTGTTGCTTTCTCCTCTGCACCTGCGAGCGCCTCTCCCCCAACCTGGCCATACGCTGGAGCTTTGCGGGGACGCCCCCCCCGGGGCCCCCTCTGCCCACGCCACCCAGACTTCCCTGCGGGGGCAGGAGGGACCATAAGGCCCCTGCTTGGACGTGGCCAGTCTGTCCTCCACGCTGGCCCTGGGGGGGGTCAGTGCAGGCCCCTGGCGGGGATGGCACTGGGCTTGACGAGGAAAACCGTACCCCACGCCTGCCTCGAAATGGAGAGGCTTCCTACAGCGGGCCCAGCTCAGGGCCTCGAGTGACCTAAGCAAGCCCTCCTGTCGGCCCCGCACCCCTCCTGGAGGAGGCCACCCGGTGTCTGCTCCTCCCCCTGCCTGTGGTCCTGTCCTGTCCTGGAACCCCCAGGCAGCCCAAGCAGCAGGTGAGTGACAGGTGGGGACGGCGGGGGGGGGGGGGGGGGGGGGGGGGGGGGGGGGGGCTCCAGGGGAAGGGCTGTGGAGGGACCACCAGGGGGCCGGGCTTCCGGCAGACACCCTGTCCCCCTGTCCCCCTGCCCCGCGAGGAGCGCCAAATGGCTGCCGGGCCTGTGGTCCCACAGCGGAGGACGAGGACGCTTTGTTCCCCCCCTCAATATTTCCACTGTGCTGGCTCCCGCCCTCCCTCCCCGCCCGCCAGCGCCGCTCCATAGAAATGCAAGTCCGGGGAGCATCCGGAGGCAGACGTTGCCTCGACCTTTCACCCGGGACTAATTCTAAATTGCACTGTTTTCTTTTCTAAGCTAAGCGGCCATCTGCCACCCCCAGGGGACAGATGACAGCTCCCTCTGCCCCAAACTAGGAAGAGACGGAAGGACTAAGCAGTGAGCAGTGCTGTACTCAGTTCTGCCCTCAAGGAGTTTGTGGTCCGGGGGTGGGGCCCTGCGCCCCCCCCCCCCGCCCCGCCAGCCGGTGGGGGGGGGGCGGGGGGGGGGGCAGGCGGGGCTCCCCGCCCCACTCTGCCTGCCGGGACCTCAGTTTCCCAGGAGTGCAGCGGGGGTGGGGGGGTCAAGGGGACCGCACGTGCCCCTCATCTGGTGCCCTGGCCATTTGGGCAGAGGGCACTCACTCCAGGCAGCGCTGGGCTTGATGTGTGCATTTCCTACCGCGTTCCTGGGAACAGATTTACCGGCCCAGCTGAGCTGCTGTGTCTGAGGGGATCTGTGGGGACACAGGACTTCCCCTGCACAGAGCTGACCCACCAGGACCTCCAGGCAGCACAGCACCGCCCTGCCCCCGCCACCGGGCAGCCCGCGTCCTTACAGCAAGAAGCCACCTGGATGCAAGGAGCCATCCCCTCCTTAACCAAGTCCACCTCTGCCGAGCAGAATGCGGGCCTAGGAGCCCCCTCCCCGAATGGCCACTGCTGCCCCTCCTCGAGCTTTCTGCCCGGGAAGCGGAGTCTGGGGCCCTCGGGCTCCTGCTGTACGGGGCAGCCAACGCCACATCACCGGAGTCCCCTGGTGACAAGGGGTGGGCACGGACGGGAGGCTGAAGCGCCTCCCAGAGCCCAGCCCTGCTGTGCCAAGCAGAGGCCCGCCAAGGCCGCTGCCTTCCACCTAAACCACAACACTGGGGGCCGCTGCCGCGAAGCCAGGCCCACCCACCCCTGCGCGGCTGGGCCAGGAGTTTCTGAGACCCCCGGCCTGGGAAGAAGAGAACCACCCACGTCCCAGCCC